TAGATTTCAAGACAACGACCATTGGTGCCCACAGCCTCAGGAGTTGGCACTTTTGCGTTGGTTAGGCTGTCAGAATGACGGCCTTCGGCCAGAGAAATGTCCTCTTGACCTGAATTATTTGCCCGTTCTTGATCTCCAATAGTTTCAGAAAGTCATGTTTCTGTCAAGGCGATGATATCTGGCTTGTGCTCGTCGATCAGAGTCCTGGGTTCATCCATCTTGTTTAACAGGCTCTGCGCATTCGAGTACAGCACCTTTAGTGTCTGTCTTCTCGGAGGGTGCCGGCCCTGATTACAAATGGGGTTTGCCACAGGAACGATCGCTTGATCTGTATTATCTTGCCTTCCTTTATTTTCAAACCCTTCTCCCCCTCTTCTGTCCTTCTTTTCAGTTCTGTCCAGAGCTCCCTCATCTTGTGTCTTTCTGTCGGTTCGTAATCCGGCTGAAAAAACACCTCCTTATGCGAATGACGAAGAGCCATCCTCCCTTCTAGGAGATGTGAAGCCTGGGCTTCATTTGCAAGAATAATTTTAAGAGGCCTTGGTAGTCCACGCGACGCATCTGCGTTTCCTAGACGGAAAGCTTTATGCACGGTAACACATTCTCCGTCCTGAAGGACGGCATTTGAATATGTTTGGAAGAGGTTGAGGTCGTGTTCGATTCTTTCTTTTGCAGTCGAAGAATTGGACTCAGGAGCTCCCTTTATGACGATATTACGTTTTCGGTATAGATGCCTGTTTGGTAGAGAGCCCCTGTGTTTATTGTTACACGCGCGGTCAGTATTTCGCCAATTTCCGTCGTAATCATCGTTTGATTCAGAGACGGCTGTCATGGTATAGCTACCACAGGGTTCCTCACCCACCGAGTCTTCTTGGTCGTGCGATACATCCTTCGGCAGTGTGGTATTTGCCGGCATTGTGTGTGGACTCCGCTCACTCATACGGACAATCGGACCTGCTTTTTCTTTTCGGAACGCCCTGGGGCGCTTTTGCGTTTCCTGAGAGCCCTCTCTGTCGTTTTTTTCTTGCAGAAGAGGTCGGTTCTTAGTTGTGATTTCTTCCTTAGACGTGCTGTCTTCTTCCTTGGCGGCTGATCCAGTTAATGAGACTGTGCTTAAATATTTTCCGTTTGTTTTCTGAGGGTCTGACGTCGCCGGCTTTCTCTTTATGGGTGAATGGCGAGGAAGTTTCCTCAACTTCTCCATCTCTATTTTTAGGTCTTTTATCTCATTTTCCATCTCTAAGACTTTCTGGAGAAGGCTGAAACATGCCGCATGTGTGTTATCTTCGTTGTTGTAGTTGACATCCATTAAGGTTACTAAACTCCTGGCCCGTTTGGCAGGGGATTTGAGAGCGGGGAAGCCGACGTTACATTCATTTAAACAGTGTGCATTGTTTATTACATTATTATTTTTAATCCGTCTGCTGCGCGTCAGTGGTCGATTGGTAGCGACGCCGGCCTCGTTACCTTCTTGACTGGGTTCGAATCCTGCTTGGGGCGCAATTTTTGAGCAACATCCCGAAGGCACTTGTTCGATTCCCATTTTTAAGTATATAAATTGGACAAATTTTTAAGGGTGTAGGAGGAGCTATCTAACCAGACCAACGATATGAAGCAAGTAGCGAACAGTATGAAGCAAGCAGCAAGCGACTTATCCGTTCTGAGAAGGGGGGGTCCCACGGTGCCGTTGGCAGAGAAGTTTTCCGAAAGAAAATGGCTGTCCCAGAGAAAGTCCTGTCGAAGTTCCGTGTGGATGGAGTATTTGTTGGTTACTATCCAATTTCGTAATCTAATGGGTTTTCAGAGCGTCCAGTTGGCAGAAATCTCGGAAAAGGCGAATGCGTCGGAGGTCGAAAATTTCAAACCGAATTGAACTGAAATGAACTTCTGTCCAAGGTCTCATGCGCATAAGTGAACTACACAAAGTCAGTGCGAGTAAGGACGACCTTATCAATTCTATTCAGTTTATTGAGGGAAATAGGCGTAAGTCCTTGAGTACCCTATTTGCAAAGTAAAAAATGTGTGGTGTGCAGATAGATGTTCTGGACTGAAATAGTTCGAACACGCCCATAATGGTGGGACAAAATGAAAAGGAGTTACGGGAA